AATGGTGCTTGGCTCAGGAGGAAGTCCATACAATGCTGCTAAATAAACACGTAAAGAAATTAAAGTACAGGAGGCATGTACTGCATTCAATCACATAAAATTGTTATTTCTATGGGTCAAAATTGGTCAACTATGGGAATTTCATATGACTTAACGGCAGAAATGGCAAGAAAAAAGGATGTTCCAAGAATGAGTGAGGGATGGAATGGGTGGATGGGTTTGAGAATGACTCATGGTTGGCACCTAATGAATGTTTCCTTAATGATGACAGAATGAATGGGTGTGTGGACAGTGGATAGATGAGCATGTACCAGATCTGTGTAGAACTAATCCATAAGCTAAGCTTATGGATTCTAAGTTTGAAAAACAGTCATTTGGTCCTCCGATCTCTTGGGTCCTGGGCTCACTGAGGACCCGCCCTTAGTGGTGTCATTATGGATCCTGAGGACTGTTTTTTGAGTCAAGCTTCCCTTACTACAGTGTTGTTTTGGGGACTGACCGAGATATTGAAACTAGCAAAAGTGTCACAGCGGCCCCCCAGAGTGGGGTCAATCAGCAGACAGTCGATGCCATAGGCCACACCCAGGTCAAATAGGAGCTCCCGCTGCACAATCCTGCATGTTTGGCCATTCAGAAAGAGCTCGCCCTGAGAGACAGAGAGAGAGAAGACTGTCAAAAATCCTGCTCAGACTTCGCTTCTTCTCAGCCACATGTGTGAGTAAGACCTGTCAGATGCAGAACTGAAAACAAAAACAAAACATTCAAAGTCCAAAATGAACACATAGGATGTACCAGTTACTGTTCTAAGTGCAAATTGAAAACATTTTAATGGCAACCCTAGGATGTAGATACGATGATTAGTTTACTCATTTTGCTCTCAGCTCTGATTCACGGCGGCCTTATGTAGAATAGAATGAAGGCTGCCCAATCCTAGGCCCCCCTTACAAGCATGGCCATGTTCGAGTCCTCTGTTGCAGCCACTGTTTTGATCCAGCTCACGGAATGTCTCTCATCATCACTGATCCAGCATGATGTCCTTCTCCAGCAATGGGTCTCACCTGATGACGTGCCCAAAATGAGCAAGACGATGTGTTGCCACCCTCGCTCTCGGAAGGATGTACTCTGGCTGTACTTCCTCTAAGATGGATTTGTTCTTTCATTTAACAGGCAGTGAGGAGTTATGAAACATGTTGGAAGTCACACAGCCAGTCAGGATTGGAGCAGGCATTCACACCTCGGCTGTTGGCCTCTGAGTCCACTGTCTTGGCCACTCTGCAACACTGCCCCTTCCAAGGTGGAAGCATGTGCAGGCGGGTGACAGGGTAGAGCAGGGTAGCTGGCTGTGGCCACTTGCTCTGCAGTGACCGAGTAGTCTTATATCGGGTTAGTACCTATCAGGGTTCTGGGAACAGCTTTCTAAAATCAGTAAGTGATTGGCTTTAACTTGACAATGACAGCAAGGATGTACCCACTCTTCACTTATCGGCATGATTAGGTTCCAATCCACTGCCAACGAATTGATGACGACTTATTGTGACCCTATAGGACGGATTTCCAAGACTATAAACCTTTATTGAAACAAACAGCCTCATCTTTCTCCCATGGAGCAGTGGGTGGGTTTCATCCACTGACCTTGTAGGTAGCGCTTAACCCACAGTGCCACCAGAGTCCTAGGCATGGAGGATGACCACATCAGATCACAAAGTGGAAGATGACAACAACATTACAGAACTTCCAAATTACATACATCATTATATAACTTCCAAATGACATTGCTACATAACTGCCAAATCACTGAGAATTATGGCCCAGCCAAAGGGACAATAACCTTAACCAGCCAGTATTACTCTCGCCTAGCACCACAATTTATGTTAATGTGCAAAATGGTCAGATAGTAGATTTTTTTGTTATTGCTCTAAGTGTGAGGTGTTGGATAATGAGAGGGTCAGTAAATGAGGAATAAATAGGTGTAACGCCTACTCATTTTTCAAGTGTCCAGGCATTGTCCAAACTGTGCTTTCGATACATTATTTCACTTCATGCTTGCAACAAACCCAGGGCTTCCTTCCCCAAGTTTACTTAGGTAATAAGTTGATGAATACTCCCTTCCCCACTAAGAAATAAAATACTTTTAGGAAGTCTGTGAGAAGAAAAAAGGATAAACCTCAGCATCTACTAATGGAGTGGAGATAGATTGACTTAGTGGAAAGAAAACTCTAGATGAAGCCCTGACTTACTCACTGTGTGAACACGGGCAAGTCCCTTCTCCAACTGTCTGCCTTTCCCCACCAGGTAAATAGTGTTAATAAACCTTAATGGATGTTGTTGTTGTTAAGTGCCATCGAGTCGGTTCCGACCCATAGTGACCCTGCATAGGGTTTCCGAGGAGCAGCTGGTGAGCTTGAACTGCCAACCTTGCATTTCAAATGGCTTTGCAGTCTGGTGCATTAACCCACAGTGCCACACCAGGCCAGGGTTACTATAAAGATCCAACTAAATTATAAAGATCCAACTAAATAGTATGTTATAAGGTGCTCTAAAACTACATTAGTGCACAGAATAAGCAGTGAACATTTTCCTACTTGTTCTCTAATGTGTATCCACTTAGGCCTAGAGAGATAAGACGGCTGATCTCACAGGTACATGTATATTAGGATAACCTTCTGAAAGTTGGAAGATAAAGATGCTAACACTCTTCAAATTTATATATAAATTGAAAATTATTTTATATATAAATTGAATGCAATTCCAATTCAAACCCCCAAAGGATCCTCATCATGAGATGTAAGTAGAATGTTGTAAGGGACGTCTCAGGAGGGAACTGACTCCTCTGGGGAATGTTTCCTTTTTGCCTTCTTCCTCCTGTCTGGAAAGTAGACATGATGACAGGAGCTCCAGTAGTCACTTTGGGCCTTGAAGTGACTTTGAGACTAGAACCATGTGCGGCAGAGCAGAACTAACTCCCCGCCCCCCCCCCACCCCCCCATGCAGCTGCCGTACTAGCCCCGAATTGGCTACTTTCAGAGTTCTTTTTAAAAAAAGAATCAATTCTTGTGTATTTAAGTCACTGACATTTTGGGGTTCCCATTATATGCAATTGAACTAATTCTATCAGACCCATTCATTCTAATGGAATTATGGGAAGGTAGACTGGTTCAGGAACTAGCCAGGGAAGGAGAAAGTTGTACACATGTTCTCTGTTGGCTGATTGAGTGGGTACAGCCGGGTAAGAAAGTTGGGGGCAAGGCCACAGTGGAACTGGGAAGGAAGAGAAAGCAATGACAGAGAATTCTTGCTTCAGTGAATTATTTCACATGAAAATAAATGACCTACCTCTGTTCCAACCAAACCAAACCAAACCAAACCTAACCAAGCCAAGTCAAACAAAACAGAAAGTCACTCTCCTTGTGGAAAGAACTTCCTGCTACATGTGACAAGGGCTGGTGAGGCCTTAGGTTTTTCAGATCCACTGATTTTCAGAGGACCCCCCCCCCCCCCCCCCCCCCACCAGAAGGCAATGAGTGACAATGATGAAATTTTCTTTGAGGGAATCATTTTAGGGAAGGTGCTGCTTGTTACTGTGTTCCCACCCCACCTGGGTGACAGTACTCACAATGCTGCTGGCAGCTCCACATGTCACACTCAGCTCGGAACCTTGCAGGGTCTTCCAGGTGGCAGATCTGGGGAGATCCACTGCTAAAACCTGAAGGAGCAATGGTGTCACTTTCAGATTCCAAATCTAAGCTGAAGAAGACCCAAGCATCTTTGCCAACAAACCAAAGTCAGTTGTATGTTTCTCCAAGAATTATAGCCATCCCAGCTTTAAAATGACACCAAATATAATAAAAAAGAAGAAGAATCATGAATGGGTTGCCTAGGAGGTTGGAAGTTCCCTCTGGAGGGAAAGTCTCAGCCAGCTGGTCTGTGCTCACTGGCCCTTCCATTCCTATCTATGCTTGGGGGTCCCTAGAAGATGAAGCCAGTGACAGGGGCAATGAACTAAGTGCTGAGAAATGGCATGGGCACTATGAATTAACCAGAGTCAGGGCTCTTGGTGTTCTCAGACTTGATTGGCTCATTCCTGGAAATGAACAAGGACACTGTTTGAGGACCCACAGTGACAGGTCTTAGCAAGAGCTTCCATGGTTCCGCTTCCCTGATCTCAGTGGATCCCAGATGATCGGTCAGTTTTTTGACAGGAAAGTTTGGAATTGGGAGAGAAAGACTTCATCTAGAGAAACTTGGGAACTGTTGGCAGCTGGCTTTTTTATTTTTTAGTCATAGGAGCTAGGAAAGAATAAAAGCTCATCTGCAGAATAAGAAAAGAATCCTGCTCTTAGGTATGATTAAAGTTAGAATAACGGCCAGAACACAAAATGGAACCGTGTTCTGTTCCCGGTGAGCTGCAGGAAACCCAGAGAATCTATACCTTCTCTCTCGTGATGTCCTGTAGAAGACTGGGTGGGCAAGAGCTGTTTCCACCTTACAAGTATTTAGGAAAACTTATTGCTGCTTTTAAGTGCTGTCGAATTGGTTCCAACTCAAAGCAACCCTGTATAGGGTTTCCAAGGCTATAAATCTTTGCGGGAGCAGCAAGCCTCATCTTTCTCACGTGGAGCAACTGGTGGGTTTAAACCACAGTTAGTGTTTATTCTAGAGAGCCACTGTGCTCCCTTTAGGAAGGCGTGGGGGCTCCTTTTTCCAGGAGGCAGAGTAGGAGGGATGCCTCTACAAGTCAAGGAACACCAAGGACTGCTGGGAGCCACCAGAAGGTAGAAAGAGGCAAGGAAAGATTCTTCAGAGGGAGCATGGCCCTGCCCACACCTTGATTTCAGACTTGTAGCTTCCAGGACGGTGAGAGAAGAAATTTCTGATGTCTTAAGCTGCCCAGCTTGTGATAATTTGTTATGGCAGCTCTAGGAACTTGTAACATGGCATGGATATATCTTCTCCTTTCTTCATTTGCCTGGAAGGATTTGACACAGTAGGACTCCTAAAGGAATCAATTGACCGTTGACCAGTAAAAGGGAGATATAGTGGGTACTCAGCAGATCTGCTTCCCGCTACATTCTGACTACTTCTGGGCCACAGTGTCTTGGTGCCTGGATATGGTCCTCACTTCTGCCTGAGAACAAAATACCTTGGAATCTCGGATCACGTGGAACTTCAAGTACTCCTTCAGCTTGTCCTTGTTCTCTTGTTTGAAGAGGAAATCCTGTTGTTGAGGGGGTAAGGCTTGGAGAGCTTGGTCCGTGGGCCAGAAGAGAGTGACTGGGATGTGGATGGGATCAGTGATGAGACTCAGCAAACCTGCATCCTGAAACACAGGGAACAGCCCCACATGGTATGTTTCCATCCTGCACAGCAGGGCCCTGTTGTATAGGTGACCAGCTCGGAGGTTACTGGCCCAGGCTTACTGGAACTCCAGCTGATACCAAAGTGATACAGCCAGAAACCAGAGGGTCATCACACCCCAACCATTCCAACTCACACTGTCTTAGAGAGTAAAGCAGAGAGTCAAATTCTGGCCCATTGCTAATAGGAAAACGAATTTTAACAAATATCTTTTCTACTGTTGTTTTTGTTAAATGCTGTCGAGTCAGTTCCATCTCATAGTGAACCTTGTGTAGGGTTTCTGAGGAGCAGCTGGTGGGTTTGAACTACCAGCTTGTGGTTTTCAGTTGATCCTACAGAGCCACATCAGGAGTCCTGTGTTGTTGTTGTTAAGTACCATTGAGTCAGTTTCTGAGGAGTGACTGGTGAGCTTGAACCACCGACTTTGCCATTCAAACTGACTTTGTAGTCCATTAACCCACAGTGCCACACCAGGAGTTTCCGAGGCTATAAATATTTACTGGAGCAGAGGGCTTTATTTTTCTCCTGCGGAGTGACTAGTATGTTTGAACCACTGAACTTGTGGTTAGCAGTCCAATGCTTAACCCATGGCACCACCAGGACTCTTTAATATTGAGATGGTTAAGTGCTGTCGAGTCAGTTCTGACTCATAGCTGTATATGGTTTGCGAGGAGTGGGTTTGTGAGGAGTGGCTGGTGGGTTTGAACCGTGCACCTCTGGGTTAGCAGTCCAGTGCTTATCCTACAGTGTCACATGAACACTCATTGAAATAGTCCTGTGTAATTATAAGATTTCTGGTTTATATGCACATAAAAAGAAATAATGAGTAGAATGGGTATGAATTATTGAGCACCTTGTATATGCCAAGTAAAAAAAGCAACATTGCATATGCCTTTGTGTGTGTGTCTGCCATTCTGTTCTTTTTTTTAAATGTTTTATTGTGAATTATGTGATAGTTTATATGGGAGAACTTTAGTTTTACATTCATTCTATCATATATCATCTCATTGCCATGGTTACAATCCCCTCCATGCATCATCAACCAACCAAAGGGTATTATACCCTGCAAGGCTGTCCCCCAGTCGTCACATTGCATATGCTTTTGTTTTGTTCTCATCTTTCCAACAATCCTCTTAAGTTTCTCTTATTATCCCCTTTTATTGAGACTCAGAGAAGTTTTCTAACTTTCCAGGAACTCTTGTCTTTAACCAGACTCTAGTGCACAGAGTAAGCCCTGGTGTGGCGCTGTAGGAAAAACACTGGACTGCTAACTGCAATGTCGGTAGTTCAAATCCACCAGCCACTCTTGGAAACTCTATACAGGGTAACCAGGAGTTGAAGTTGACCTGACGGTGTACAAGAGTGCACAGATGTGGGCGTGTCTGTGAGGTGTTGGTGTTAGGTAGGTAAGTTTCCTTAGAGATTTTGATGTTGAAACCTTAAATTCTCCATTTCTAAAATGCTTCCCAGGGAGTCTGAGATACAGACCATTTTGGGAACCACTGGTCTAATGAAGAAGTTTATAGATTGTGCTTTGGGGACCCCAGGTTTCTAAGAGTCTGTCAGAGATTTTTTTGTGTTTGTTGGGGGGAAGGGAGCTTCTGGAGTGCTGGGTTTTCTCCTATGTGACTTTCCTCTCTATTCAGTTTGTGGGGATGGGCTTTGAAGTCAGAAAGACATGTTTGTGGATCCTATTTCTACCTGTCTCACAGACACAGAGCCCCTTACTCTCTACTGCAGCTTCTCCAGCTCTGTAATGAAACTGAGAAACCCGACTTCCCAGGCACTTACTTTGGTTGGAGCACTGAATCATAGAGGCAAAAACCTGGGACAGGGACCAACCTTTGGGACCTACTGTTGTCTGCCCCCACCCCACCCCCCCAACCTCAAGTACTTCAGTTCCTAGTTCTGCCAGTGTAGATTACCTATCCGAACAAACCACTCAGTATTTTGAATATGGTGTGGAATGGTTTTGCTTTCCACAGACTTAGGATTTCCCCCAACAATCCTATGGCAGGTGCACACAAAACAAAACAAAACAAGACAAAACATCACCACGAAAACCAACAGAAATAACTAACCCAACCCCTCCAAAGCAAAATCAAAACCAAACCTAAAATATGTTAGGGTAGACTGTCCTCTGAGTTAAAATTTCCCCTAGGTTAAAAAAAAATTTTTTTTTTTACCTGTATTAGGTTGCTAAATTTGTTGTAGCCATGGTTTTTTGCCACGGTTGTAAGATTTTGCTGCAAAGATAAAAGGAATGAGAATGACATCTTTCCTCATCCAGTTTACAAAGCACTTGAACAAAAGCTCAACTGAATAAAATACAGAAAAGACATGGCTGGTTCTGTAGACTGGCTCATTAGCACCACTGTCCCTCTGATCTACCCATGTCTGTTTTCTGATGGATACATGGATTTCCTAAGTATCCATGACGGTTAGTGGCCTTGGTTAGATTTGAGGGTGGAGAAAGAGAGATCACAGTTACCAGAGATATTATATAATTATATAAAAGTAAACCTGCAGTAGACCTCTCTCTTAATTGATGCGGAAAGGTGATTTTAACTTGTATTTTTATTTATTAATATTAGTCAGGAATCTTCATTGCCAACAACAATATACTATACCTTGCTTAAACTAAAAAGGAGACTTGGTATTACTCAATCTGTTGGAAGACTAGAGTTTAATTCAGATGCTGCACAGCTGGGAACAAAGTATTCCAGGAATGTCTGCAAGGAGAGAAGGCCCGCCTCTAGTCTCCCCTCCGAGGATACCAGAGACTGAACACCAGAGGTCTCTCCCCGGGGACTTGCCAGAGGATCTGATCTCTCTGCTAGCAGCCATTAACTACTACTTCATGCTGTTTCTTTCCACCTCCAAGTCCCTCACAAGTACTGCAAAAGAGTCCAGCTGAAAGGGACTCTGGGAAAATGTTGTATTCACATTTCCAGCATCCTTAGTGCATAAGACATGCACTAGGTTTTTAATGACAGTTTGAGATTGAAGCAGCAAAATGGAAGCATTTCAAATGAAGTCTCAAAATCAGAATTGAGGTAATATGGCGTTATGGGTCACTCCATGCTGAGCACACAACAACGAGTTTACTTACCAGAATCTTTCCAGAGGCATCTTTAGGGGTGATAAGCAAGTTTTGGGGAGACAGCAGTTTGTCTATGATGTGGATGATTCCATTGGTACTGATGATATCACTGGATATGATCTTAGCCTTGTTATTTAAATACACTGTGTCCTGAAATCACACAAACAGAAAAAAAGAGACATGAGCACAAAGAGAAACAGACACAAAATTGCTTTTGCCAGAAAGTTACACCAACACATTAAATCACCATGAAAGTGCATGATTAAAGCAGAACTGTGGGCAAATCTGAAGACTGAAGTTACTCACACCACCATCTTAGTATTTGAAAAAAGAGACAAGAAAGTACTTTTCACCCAGAGAGTCTAACAGTAAATGATCGCCTGAAAACAGTCATTTGACTGTGATTCTCAAATGTGTAATAAATAAGCAGATCAAATTGGCTTTTCATTAACATGCATGGCCCCCTCACTTTTTCCCCTTTGCAATGAGTTCTACAGCCACCATTTGGTTCTCCATTGTAGGCAGGGGGAGGACCAGGATGGGCAAATGACTGTGATCAAAAGTTTTCAACTCTTTCCAGCTTCTGATGAATTAATGCTACCAAAAATAGTCCCAATGGCTTCTTGCAGCGGCCCTGCCTCTGAGACTGGATTCCAGTTCTAATATTTACTCATCTGTGACCTTGGATAAGATACAATCGTTTCTATAATACAGGCCTGTTTTGAAGATTCGATGAGTGAGTGCATATCCAATACTTAGAATAGCGTGCATATAGAAATCACTTAATATATGTTGATACTGTAATTATAGATACTACTGGTCTTATCCAAGGAGCTCTGGTAGCATACTGGTTACAAATTGAGCTGCTAACCTCAGGGACAGCAGCTCGAAACTACCAGCTGTTCTGTGGGAGAAAGATGAGGCTTTCTGCTCCATAAAGATTTACACCCTCGGAAACCCTGTACAGGGTCACTATGAGTCGGAACCAACTGCACAGCACATAACAACAACAACAATAACAATTGGTCTAATTCTAAGGAAGTGGAGGGGAGAGGACCCAAGGAGAGTTAGCACCTTCCTTAGGTGGCCTTGCTTACCTGAGAGACCGAGATGACAATTGACTCTCCTTGGAGGGAGGTTACATTTGGGGTCAGTTTCAGGTTTTCCAGAAGCAGCTGGTGGCAGGAGATCACATGGTAGCGGAGAACCTGAGCCATTATGCCCTGTCTGTCCCAGTCTTTCAGCTGCAATAAACAGATCAGAGGGTCCAGGCAGTGCCAGGCGCTCAGTCCAACCTCCTCTTGTGCTTTCCTCACTCCATCCTCTCCTGAATCTCTCTCCCCACTCAGACCCTGGGAGCTGGGTCCTCAGGGTTGGCTTGGGGTCAGGATTACAGCATAGAGCAAGAAAGGGGCCCTAGTTCCCCTTCTTCCTCCATTGCAGCATCTCAGAGTAGAGGCAATTAGGGGTTCTCTGGTCCAGCGGTTCCCCGCATGTCTTCTAAGGACCACAAATCCTAGGAGATGCTACTCTTCCATGATAGATGCTGGGAAACACTGAATAGTAATCCCCTTTCTAGAGAAGGGCCAGGGCCAGAAGAAACCTTTAGTATGGAAATGATCACAATGCTTCTCCATTTGTAAATCAAACTATGAACAATATTAGCCATAAAGTAAGTTTAATAAAAAGTCCACAAGTTTTCATTGCTTCCTGATAACACTTCTGATGGGTTCCCCAACCCCCAACTATCAAATATTCAATTATTTCAAAAATTATTTTTGGGTATCCCTTTTGCTGGAGTCTATAATACATGCAGTTGTGTTTCATAGAAAATGTAGTAAGTTTTCTTGGCACCTGGGAAAATAGAAGAATGTAAGACGTTGCCCCTGATCTGACAGAATTCAGGAAACAGCACTGGTGTGGTGTTGTAGGATCAGCACTGGACTGCTAACAACAAAGTCGGCAGTTCAAACCCGCCAGCTGCTCCTCAGAAACCCTGTACAGGGTCTCTGTGAGTTGAAACTGAATCATGGGCACTCATCAACAACAACAATGACAACAACTGTCATGTGATAGGAGCACACTGGGCATGGGAGCTATCAGGCTGGTGGTTTGAGCCCACCAATTGCTCCATTCCCACAAAGCTTCAGAAAGCTTATATAGGGTCACTGTGAGTCAGAAGCGACTCCATGACACTTGATAGCAACAATAAAATATATGCATGGAAGGGAGCTATATGCAATGGCTAAGGACACCAGTACTGGAGCCAGGTGTGTGGGTCCAAGTTCTACCACTTGCTAGTCGGGTGACCTTGGGAAAGTCACTTCCCTCAATGTCTTCAATGGTAAAATAGGGATAATAATAGTACGCAACAACGACAACAGTAATACTTAGCTTCTAGTGTTGTTATGAGGACCAAATGGGTTCACGCAGACAGAACCTGGCATCCTTGATGATTGGGAGCTGTTCTTATTATTAATGGGAAATCTAGTATGAAATGTCCCAATGAATGGTAGACCAGTAAAAGCTCTAATTACAGAATGGATTTAAGTTACATTAGCCCAATTTCCTGCCCTCCCCCTGTCCCCCTTTGTCAATGGGAACTTTGGATCACTTGTGAGTTACTGATTGTCTCCAACCTCCTGGTCCATTCAGAATTTGTCCTTTAGAGTGCCTTTGGCCAGAGGTTACCCCAAATCCACTTGGATGTTTGCCATGACAATGGAATCCCTGTGCTCAGAGACAGAGACAGTCCCTTTCATTGACGGTCAGCTCCAGAGGGTCCTAATTCCCCTGCCCAGAAAACATCTCCAGTGTGAGTTCTAAGACAAGGCCTAGTAGACTGTTCTAGTCTCAAACCTTCTTTGCCTGCCCACCACCACATGCTTACCCGGCTGTCCTCATCAAAGGCTGTTGACAAAGGTGCGAAGACAGTGAAGGGGCCTGGGCCAGACATATCTCCCACAGAATGCTCCTGAGGATGGAAGATCCTTACATCACTTACTTAGCATAAATATAGGTGGGGTTTCATAGCAATGTGAGAGAGAGAGTGTTGCAGAAGGGATCTATAATTGAATGAAGAGATCTGTGAATTCCATTTCAAACCCAGCTCTGGTCATTGAAGTCCTGTTTATTTTTCTTTCTGGTTATAAAATGAAAACATGTTCATTGTATACGTTTTTTTGAAAATGTAGCATTAAAAAGGATAATAACTATCTGTATTTGGCACTTTAGGATAATAAGCACTGGAATGCTAACCATACAGTAGACAGTTCAAACCCACCATCTGCTGTAGGAAACCCTATACAGGGTTGTTATGAGTTGGAACCAACCAGATGGCACAACAGACAAGCTTAAGACTTAGATTGACCTCTTGTGGTTTTAGATATTCTTGGCTGGTGTTTCTTCCACAGGTAAATATTTTACATAGTAGGGATAGTGATACAAATCTGGAGTCCTGGTGTGGTGCTGCAGGAGAATGCGCTGGACTGCAAGGTCAGTTTGAACTGCAAGGTTGGTGGTTCAAACCCACTAACTGCTCCCTGGAAACCCTATACAGGGTTGCTATGGGTTGGAACTGATTCAATGGCACAGAACGACAACAACAATACAAATATACTTTTGGCTGGTTCCAGGCTGCAGCCAGGGGAGCCAGGTAGGGAACACTCCGGTGAGAAGGGAGGGGGATCTCATGAAGGAAACGTTCATATAGTAAACGCACAGCTTCCAAACTATCATAAGATCTCGGACTTCAATTTCCCGAACTCGCTTTTGAAAAAAATCATGCTACTAAGGAAAATACGGGCATCTTAAGACTCTCACCAAAGGACCAGCGGGACCGCTCTGACCACTACCCGGCCCCTGCAGAGTTTATAGAGGGCATGACTAAAGCCAGCCCGTTCAGAAAGTGGCATTTCCAGCACACACAAAAAAACTAAACAAACAAATCTGCAAGAAACTACACGACTCTCCCCCCAAATTTCCCTGCCCCAGCTTAAGATCTCAGCATGGACATCAGGCAGGACAGTTTACCCATGGCACAGAGAGAGGGAGCAGGGCGGCAGCTTTTGACGTCACCTGCTGGCCCAAATCTGAAGCCGTGTATCTGAGCCCAGGCAGAGCACATCTCCTTACTCTCAGTAGCAGCATGGAACTTCCAGCTATTGTTCTAGCAATAGAAAGTAACCTGTAAACCCGCAGCATAATAGGACTCAACCATTCCGAGATCTGCACTGTGTACTCGCAGATAACTGATAACAACTGGACCAAGCTTCTGAGGCAGTGCATCCGAGTTTGGGCGGACACGTAGCCTTTCTCCCAGGCAACAGATTAGAATCTCCAGCTAACAACCTTGCAACCCGCGGCTGGGCTGCTGCCTGAGTTCACTGGGCAGGACAAACTCAAGGCAATCTATAAAACCCCAACAGAACAGGTCGCAACCATCCCAAGATTGGCGCTGAGCACATGCAGATAACTGACATAGACAAAAATAGCAGTCGATCTTTCTCCCATTAACTCCCCAATATATATCTGCCCACCTGTACGGCAGTGGCCAGAGGAGAAGCCTGAACGAGGGGTCATCCCCACCCCTGCTGGAGGCTTCTATTTGCACACACACTGATGGTGTAGCACACAGAAGTTGACCAAACCCGCATCTCTGCTCCAAAGTGGTGATTTCTGTCTATGAATTTATATTACTTCTGCTTTTGGTCCTTGTGATCACACATCTTTCCTGGAGGTGGGAGCTTTTCCTCCCTACGTCACCTAAGAAG